CAGTCATTTGAGAAACCAAGGCTATTTAGTCTGCCAATAAGAATGCGGTGGTTGACAGAGTCGAAAGCCTTGGCCAGGTCGATGAAGACGGCTGCACAGTACTGTCTATTATCAATCGCGGTTATAATATCGTTTAGGACCTTGAGCGTGGCTGAAGTGCACCCGTGACCAGCTCGGAAACCGGATTGCATAGCGGAGAAGGTACGGTGGTATTCGAAATGGTCGGTGATCTGTTTGTTAACTTGGCTTTCGAATACTTTCGAAAGGCAGGGCAGGATGGATATAGGTCTGTAGCAGTTTGGATCTAGAGTGTCACCCCCTTTGAAGAGGGGGATGACCGCGGCAGCTTTCCAATCTCTGGGGATCTCAGACGTTATGAAAGAGAGGTTGAACAGACTAGTAATAGGGGTTGCGACAATTTCGGCGGCTAGTTTTAGAAAGAAAGGGTCCAGATTGTCTAGCCCAGCTGATTTGTAGGGGTCCAGATTTTGCAGCGCTTTCAAAACATCAGCTGTCTGAATTTGTGTGAAGGAGAAGCGGGGGGGGGCATGGGCAAGTTGCAGCAGAGGGTGCAGAGTTGGTGGCCGGGTTAGTGGTAGCCAGATGGAAAGCATGGCCAGCTGTAGCAAAATGCTTGTTGAAATTCTCGATTATTGTAGATTTATCGGTGGTGATAGTGTTTCCTAGCCTCAGTGCAGTGGGCAGCTGGGAGGAAGTGCTCTTATTCTCCATGGACTTTACAGTGTCCCAAAACTTTTTGGAGTTAGTGCTACAGGATGCAAATTTCTGTTTGAAAAAGTTAGCCTTTGCTTTCCTGACTGCTTGTGTATATTGGTTCCTAACTTCCCTGAAAAGTTGCATATCGCGGGGGCTATTTGATGCTAATGCTGTACGCCACAGGATGTTTTTGTGCTGGTCAAGGGCAGTCAAGTCTGAGGAGAACCAGGGGCTATATCGGTTCTTAGTTCTGTATTTTTTGAATGGGGCATGTTTATTTAAGATTGAGAGGAAATTACTTTTAAGGAACAACCAGGCATCCTCTACTGACGGAATGAGATCTATATCCATCCAGGATACCTGGGCCAGGTCAATTAGGAAGGCCTCCTCGCTAAAGTGTTTTAGGGAGCGTTTGACAGTGATGAGGGGTGGTCGTTTGACCGCGGACCCGTTACGGACGCAGGCAATAAGGCAGTGATCGCTGAGATCCTGGTTGAAGACAGCTGAGGTGTATTTAGAGGGTATGTTAGTCAGGATGATATCTATGAGGGTACCCATGTTTACGGATTTAGGGTTGTACCTGGCATGACATAAGTATTTGATCACCTACCAACCAGTAAGAATTATGGCTCTCACAGACCTGTTAGTTTTTCTTTAAGAAGCCCTCCTGTTCTCCACTCATTACCTGTATTAACTGCACCTGTTTGAACTCGTTACCTGTATAAAAGACACCTGTCCACACATTCAATCAAACAGACTCCAACCTCTCCACAATGGCCAAGACCAGAGAGCTGTGTAAGGACATCAGGGATAAAATTGTAGACCTGCACAAGGCTGGGATGGGCTACAGGACAATAGGCAAGCAGCTTGGTGAGAAGACAACAACTGTTGGCGCAATTATTAGAAAATGGAAGAAGTTCAAGATGACGGTCAATCGCCCTCGGTCTGGGGCTCCATGCAAGATCTCACCTCGTGGGGCATCAATGATCATGAGGAAGGTGAGTGATCAGCCCAGAACTACACGGCAGGACCTGGTCAATGACCTGAAGAGAGCTGGGACATGAGTCTCAAAGAAAACCATTAGTAACACACTATGCCGTCATGGATTAAAATCATGCAGCGCACGCAAGGTCCCCCTGCTCAAGCCAGCGCATGTCCAGGCCCGTCTGAAGTTTGCCAATGACCATCTGGCTGATCCAGAGGAGGAATGGGAGAAGGTCATGTGGTCTGATGAGACAAAAATATAGCTTTTTGGTCTAAACTCCACTCGCCGTGTTTGGAGGAAGAAGAAGGATGAGTACAACCCCAAGAACACCATCCCAACCGTGAAGCAAGGAGGTGGAAACATCATTCTTTGGCGATTTTTTTTCTGCAAAGGGGACAGGATGACTGCACCGTATTGAGGGGAGGATGGATGGGGCCATGTATCGCGAGATCTTGGCCAACAACCTCCTTCCCTCAGTAAGAGCATTGAAGATGGGTTGTGATTGGGTCTTCCAGCATGACAACAACCCGAAACACACAGCCAGGGCAACTAAGGAGTGGCTCCGTAAGAAGCATCTCAAGGTCCAGGAGTGGCCTAGCCAGTCTCCAGACCTGAACCCAATAGAAAATCTTTGGAGGGAGCTGAAAGTCCGTATTGCCCAGCGACAGCCCTGAAACCTGAAGGATCTGGAGAAGGTCTGTATGGAGGAGTGGGCCAAAATCCCTGCTGCAGTGTGTGCAAACCTGGTCAAGACCTACAGGAAACGTATGATCTCTGTAATTACAAACAAAGGTTTCTGTACCAAATATTAAGTTCTGCTTTTCTGATGTATCACATACTCATGTCATGCAATAAAATGCAAATTAATTACTTAAAAATCATACGTGATTTTCTGGATTTTTGTTTTAGATTCCGTCTCTCACAGTTGAAGTGTACCTATGATAAAAATGACAGACCTCTACATGCTTTGTAATTAGGAAAACCTGCAAAATCGGCAGTGTATCAAATACTTGTTCTCCCCACTGTACCTTGCTCTGAAGAGGCACTCAGTTAATCACAGTGGGTCCCCTCCTCTCCTGTAAAACGATTTTGTCTGAGGGAATACATTTTATTAGAATAAAGAATTGAAGACAAAATAAATCTATAAACTGATTAAACTTTATTAAAACTTGTAACGTAATTGTTTTAAGTACAATGTACCAACTTCCAAGGGGAATAAACTCATGTTTATTTAATAAACAGAGTTAACTTTTATATGATTCATGTTTTAAGAACAGTAACAAGTATTGTAAATTATCATGTGTCCCTGGGTGGGATTGAACCATGTCTAAAAAAAACGGCAGAAAAGGTCAAATAAGGTCACCAAAATCATGTTGCGGCTATACACGACTGGCCAGGTGTTGAGAGCGGGGAGTGTTACCACTCAGCCACAGCTCTGCACACTCAGTTTTAATTTGTAACCAAATTATTTTTCAATATTGCATAGGGTGACACTTAGCGTGAGCAATTGGCAGTGAAAAAAAATAACCATAACATTCTAAAAAGACGATAAGTTGCAAATAGCTTATTAGCACCATAAAATTGTGCTTTGTAGGGTTGAGGATTTATTGTATCAAAGATTCTGTGATGGCAAACGGGACCGATGCACCAAGTCTGGAACCAACAGGACCCTGAACAGCTTCTACCGACAAGCCATAAGACTGCTAAATAGTTAGTGAAATAGTTAACCAAATAGCTATCAGCATTGACCCTTTTCGCACTTTGTTGACTCATCACATACTCTGCTGCTACTGTTTATTATCTGTCATTTTATTCCTAGATATATGTACCCCATGTATATAGCCAAGTTATCGTTACTCATTGTGTATTTATTATGTTTTTATCTTTTTATTATTTCTCTATTTTTTTTCTCTCTCTGCATTGTTGGGAAGGGCCCGTAAGTAAGCATTTTGTTGTTAGTCTACACCTGTTTTTTTTTACGACACGTGACCAATACAATTTGATTTGCAGTCAGATGGAATTGCATTGAATCAAATTAATCAGATCCATTGATTTACCGTGCTGCTAGATGTTTACACCACTATATTTCAATTTCATTAACAAATACAGAAAGCAGAATTATGTGTCTAAAACAAGACATGGTCCAATTGTGCAAAATCCAAGTATTTTTTTATTCTGTACAAACAAGAAACAACTAACCATCTTTGATATGGTTTAAAACTACATATTTTATGAGAAGTTAACACATCTTCCTGATTTGAGGATAAACAAATATTTATCCCCGTAAGGCAGTTTTTAGTTGATTTAACAGTTGAATGGGTTTGCTCCTAAAAGCAAACCATTTTCAATTATGGAGATATCGTTGTTCATTTTACATTACATTACATTTTTGTCATTTAGCAGACGCTCTTATCCAGAGCGACTTACAGGAGCAATTAGGGTTAAGTGCCTTGCTCAAGGGCACATCGACAGATTTTTCACCTAGTCGGCTCGGGGATTAGAACCAGCGACCTTTCGGTTACTGGCACAACGCTCTTAACCACTAAGCTACCTGCCGCCCTATGTTCAATACCAGCACATTAGTTTTGCTGATGTAGATCTTCACTTTACATTAATTCATTAATTGAGAGGATTTTCTACACAGCTCAACACCACTGAGGTAAATAGACTCAAGTTATATACAAAAAAAAACTAGAAAAAGAGTGACAACAATGAAAAGACAATAGTACAGTTATGTTTTAAAATTGTTAATTGCATCCACTTGTGTGCATGGCTATGTACCCAGGAAACACCAATGGAAGGCAAACACTCAGTAACGGAAAGGGGATATATTAATCTTAAATTTGTCATGATTGAAATGCTGCTGCTTGCAAGATAACTGTTTGCATAACAGAGCGTCCTAGATGGTTCACTGCTTCAACAGAGACTTCTACATTAATCCACTATTTAGACAGACTAAGGGCATTTCACTGCAGTGTAGAATCAATGTACCCCATATTCAAGGTAAAATGCCACAAAAGTTAAGAAATAATCAAAACATTTCTATTCAAGATTAGCACCAACGGTTCATGTTCCAAGATGGATGATTTGTCTGGTGTGGACTTGGATCTCTTCCGCCAGTTTTTAGATATGTTGAGTGGTCTATATGTTTGGCAGCAGCCCAATAAAGCTCTAATTATCATACACTGAAACCATAGGACATTGTCTTTTCTAATAGTGTTTTTTCATGTAAGGCCTGTGTAAGGGTGTGTAGTGATCGAGTCCGTCTGTGTATGTACTGTACTTCAGCCTTCGAAGTCTACTTGTACATGGCGTTGAAGGCTCGACCAATGATGAGCCTGCGCACCTCGCTGGTGCCTGCTCCAATCTCGTACAACTTGGCATCTCTCAGGAAACGGCCCATGGGGTAATCATTAATGTAGCCATTTCCACCTGCGGGTAAAGGAACGTGACAATTACTTGACATAAATCAACTTACAAAACAAGCCCTCTACCCCAGAGAGATTATAGTTAGGGTGAACGCAAGCATAAAACAGTTGATCATGCCAGTGAAAACATTAGCTACAAAGATCAAACATTTTCTATAAAGTGCATGGTTTGCTTGGGTCTTACCCAGGCACTGAATTCCATCCAGAGCGACTTGAGTTGCGTTCTCAGCACAATAAAGGATGACCCCAGCACAGTCCTGCAATGACACCCCACACATTACATCTACGAATTCAACATTACATTTCATTTAATACTGTACCATCCAAGCTTTTTCTATCACATTACATTTTGAATTTCACATTACATTTAATTCATACTGGAAAAATCATAGCTATTGTCGAAACTTCTCACCATGGAACTGAAGTGTCCCTTGTCACAGGCTCGCGCCACATTATACAAATACTGTCGACAGGCGCCCAGGCGTGTGTACATGTCGGCCATCTTTGCTTGCATCAACTGGTAGGAAGGAAAAAACATTAATTCCAGAAAGGGCAAAAAGGTTATACCTCTTCATCATCATACATCTGGAATGCTATAGCATCATTCACTCTCCAACATCAATTGACTCACTTCAAAACGTATAAGGAAGTGGTATATGCAAGAGAAATAGGAGAAAAAACATGTAGGTTGTTAAAAATTGAATCAAATTGACTTTTTTGTTTGACCGCCTGAGAATTGTTTGGTTTTGGTTGATGTCCCACCTGGAAGTGTCCAATCTTCTGTCCAAAAGCTTCTCTCATGTGGAGGTAAGGAACGGCGAAATCCATCACAGCTTGCATAATGCTGAAAGAGGGGAACATTTTCTTCATTGAAGAACTGAGACATAGAAAGAATATGCTCATGGGCATGTGTTATAAACCCAAAAGGGCCATTGGGTCCAGAATATGTACAGTTGAAGTCAGATGTTTACATACACCTTAGCCAAATACATTTAAACTCAGTTATTTACAATTCCTGACATTAAATCCTAGTAAAAATTCCCTGCCTTAGGTCAGTTAAGATCACCACTTTATTTTAAGAATGTGAAATGTCAGAATAATAGAACATAATTACTTATTTCAGCTTTAATTTATTTCATCACATTCCCAGTGGGTCAGAAGTTTACATACACTCAATTAGTATTTGGTAGCATTGCCTTTAAATTGTTTAACTTGGGTCAAACGTTTCGGGTAGCCTTCCACAAGCTTCCCACAATAAGTTGGGTGATTTTGGCCCATTCCTCCTGACAGAACTGGTGCAACTGAGTCAGGTTTGTAGGCCTCCTTGCTCACACACGCTTTTTCAGTTCTGCCCACACATTTTCTATAGGATTGAGGTCAGGGCTTTGTGATGGCCACTCCAATACCTTGACTTTGTTGTCCTTAAGCCATTTTGCCACAACTTTGGAAGAATGCTTGGGGTCATTGTCCATTTGGAAGATCAATTTGCGACCAAGCTTTAACTTCCTGACTGATGTCTTGAGATGTTGCTTCAATATATCCACATAATTTTCCTTCCTCATGATGCCATCTATTTTGTGAAGTGCACCAGTCCCTCCTGCAGCAAAGCACACCCACAGCATGATGCTGCCACCCCCGTGCTTCACGGTTGGGATGTTGTTCTTCGGCTTGCAAGCTGCCCCCTTTTTCCTCCAAACATAACGATGGTCATTATGGCCAAACAGTTCTATTTTTGTTTCATCAGACCAGAGGACATTTCTCCAAAAAGTACGATCTTTGTCCCCATGTGCTGTTGCAAACCGTAGTCTGGCTTTTTTATGGCGGTTTTGGAGCAGTGACTTCTTCCTTGCTGAGCGGCCTTTCAGGTTATGTCGATATACAGTGAGGGAAAAAAGTATTTGATCCCCTGCTGATTTTGTACGTTTGCCCACTGACAAAGACATGATCAGTCTATCATTTTAATGGTAGGTTTATTTGAACAGTGAGAGACAGAATAACAACAACAAAATCCAGAACAATGCATGTCAAAAATGTTATTAATTGATTTGCATTTTAAATGAGGGAAATAAGTATTTGACCCCTCTGCAAAACATGACTTAGTACTTGGTGGCAAAACCCTTGTTGGCAATCACAGAGGTCAGACGTTTCTTGTAGTTGGCCACCAGGTTTGCACACATCTCAGGAGGGACATTGAAAATGGGTCTTGGATGGGTATTCCAGCATGACAATGACCCAAACACACGGCCAAGGCAACAAAGGAGTGGATCAAGAAGAAGCACATAAGGTCCTGGAGTGGCCTACCCAGTCTCCAGACCTTAATCCCATAGAACATTTGTGGAGTTAGCTGAAGGTTCGAGTTGCCAAACGTCAGCCTCGAAACCTTAATGACTTGGAGAAGCTCTGCAAAGAGGAGTGGGACAAAATCCGTCCTGAGATGTGTGCAAACCTGGTGGCCAACTACAAGAAACGTCTGACCTCTGATTGCCAACAAGGGTTTTGCCACCAAGTACTAAGTAAGTTTGAAGGTAGGCCTTGAAATACATCTACAGGTACACCTCCAATTGACTCAAAGGATGTCAATTAGCCTATCAGAAGCTTCTAAAGCCATGACATAATTTTCTGGAATTTTCCAAGCTGTTTAAAAGGCACAGTCAACTTAGTGTATGTAAACTTCTGACCCACTGGAATTGTGATACAGTGAATTATAAGTGAAATAATCTGTCTGTAAACAATTGTTGGAAAAATTACTTGTCATGCACAAAGTAGATGTCCTAACCGACTTGCCAAAACTATAGTTTGTTAACAAGAAATGTGTGGAGTGGTTGAAAAATGAGTTTTAATGACTCCAACCTAAGCGTATGTAAACTTCCGACTTCAACTGTATATTTACCCGATAGGTCCTGACGCGAGCACAAGTCTCTCCAGGTCCAGTCCACTCATCATTACATAGACACCCTTGTTGAGAGGGCCCAAGATATTTTCCTCTGTAATCGAAAAAACGACATTGAAATTCAAAAACTCATACGTAGATGTGCACGTCAGGCACATACATATACTCAGGCAGTCACATACTGTACATATACACCAACCCACCCACCGGCACACACCTGGAATCTTGCAGTCCTCAAAGATAAGTTCACAGGTGTTGGAGCCCCTCATACCCAGTTTATCCAGCTTCTGTGCCGTGCTAAACCCTGGTGTACCCTGTAGGAGTAAAAGTTGGGCACAATTTACTAATATGTTCAGACCATGTAGATGTTGAAGCTTTTGACAGAACCATTTCCATTATTGTTCATAATAAAATGAAGTGTAAACAGGCACAGGTCCATAACTGGTGAAGCTTTTGTAAGCAAAATATGGAAAGTGTTTGGTTTGAGTTCCTATGATAAATACTTGCCTTCTCCACAATGAAAGCTGTGATACCCTTTTGGTGAGCCTCTGGGTCTGTCTTAGCGTACACAATGAGAACGTCAGCATCCGGCCCGTTAGTAATCCAGAACTTGCCGCCGTTAAGAATGTAGTGGTCACCTTCAGCAAAATAAAACACAGAGAGGAGATGGACAGCAGTATGAGCCAGGATGCCATTTAAGAGGTAAGGAACTGGCAAGGTAGTTAGTGAGCTTGTGCTACTAGGGAAAGGGGCTTTCAGGAGTGCTTGAGAGGGTTCACCTTCTTTCTTGGCCTTCAGTTTCATAGACACCACATCGGATCCGGCGTTGGGCTCACTCATTGCCAAAGCACCCACGTGCTCTCCTGTCATGAGCTGGGGAAATAATATTAGAAAGATGAGATAACATTGGCTGTTGCACTTTGAGACTGCCTGTATGTATGTCAGGGACAGACAGGGTGCTTGAATGTAAGGGACAACAAATATGAGCCACACCTTTGGCATGTACTTTTCCTTCTGCTTCGTGTTGCCATGGCGCACCATCTGATTGACACAAAGATTTGAGTGGGTCCCGTAGCTGAGGGAGACGGCTGCTGACACTCGCGACATTTCTTCCAGTACAATCACATGATCTAGGTAACCCAATCCTGAACCGCCATAATCCACTGGGGGGGGGGGGGTTGAGTTTAACATTGTTATGGTGACTACTTGTACATAAGATCACTATCACGGCCATTAGTGAAACTAATGGAAGACTAGTGTACACCTGGCAAAATGAAATCATAAATTACATGTAAAGATATGGTAACACATCAATTGAAAACAATATCCATCTCTTACGTGGGGCAGTGATACCCAGAAGTCCCATGTCGCCCATGTCCTTCCAATAGTCCTGCATTAAAAAACAACCCAAGATGTTACCAGGTGTAAACCAGTGGTCTTACAAAGTTTGTTTTCAGTCGCAAAATACACAGTAAAGGCAGGCCTACATTTATTGTAATACTGTGGTTATACAATGTCCAGTCTTTTATGACTTAGGTCATTGTATTGTAATAAAATCTTGATATTCATTTTAGGATGGATCATCCTGTTAGCAGTGCAGCCCACAGTAAGACACGGTAACACAATTGCGTTGAGACTCAGATTTTTCACTTAAAACTTCATGTCAAACAAAAACCATTGATTTCAAAGTTTAACAAAACATACAACTCTATGCACAAGGACTACTTTTAACAATTTACACTGGAAGAACTGTGCAGATGCAAAGTTTGGTAAAATACAATTTCAGTAAAATCCCCCTCAGTTTGTGACCACGTTTTCCAAAAACTCTGTTCCGAATTAAGATTCAAAGATGTCTGCAGAAACAATGGGGTGTCAGCTATGACATGACACCATGAAAAAAACATATTTTGGTTATTGAACTACAGTAAGTGAAGTGGCTTAACACCCGGTAACAGAATTGCGGTAACGGAATTTCATCATGGGTCCCTGATCTGTACTAGGCAGAAATCCATAATTATGCATATTCCCTTCATGGTGATGTATTCTAAATAGGTACACAAAAAAGGTACAAATATGCAATATCCTCCTTTGCATATTTGGGTATTATTATTTTAATAAGCTCCGCCCTCAAAGACCAGATTTGCTTGGTCCGGACCAAATCTGAACCAATCATAGACGTCTATGTTTGGACATTAAAGTACAGAAGAGTACTTGCTCGTTATACATCATTGTAGCATACTTCATATAATTGTCATCTTTTTTTTTTAATGCATGATGTGTTTTGTCCTACCCCTGTCGCCGCAGCTGCTTGACTTTGCCCACGTAGACGTTGTTGGACGTTGTGAACTCAGTCTTTCATAAGACACCAGGAAAGGATGGTATTTTGCGGGAGTTGTTGTCCCACAACTCACACATGTCAACCAATCAGCATACAAACAACACGTTTTATAAAGTACACGATAAACTGGGTGGTTTGAGTCCTGAATGCTGATTGGCTGACAGCCGTGGTATATCAGATCGTATACCACGGGTATGCCAAAACATGTATTTTTACTGTTCTAATTACATTGGTAACCAGTTTATAATAGCAATAAGGCTCCTCTGGGGTTTGTGATATATGGCCAATATACCACGGCTAAGGGCTGTGTCCAGGCACTCCAGCCCTTAGTTGTGGTATTATTGGATAGTTCAGTAGAGTAGAGCAGTGGTTCCCAACCTTTTTTAACCGTGGCACACCTTGATGGGATACAAAATTCTGCTGCACACCTAAAATGGTCCCATAAATGCATTTAATGGTCATCTGATCCATACTGCAACAACAACAAAAAAAAACACTGCAGAAAGTATTCACACCCCCTTTACTTTTTCCACATTTTGTTGTGTTACAGCCAGAATTTAAAATGGATTAAATTGAGATGTTGTGTCACTGGCCTAGACACAATACCCCATAATGTCAAAGTAGAATTATGTTTTAGAAATGTTTACAAATTAATAAAAAATGAAAAGCTGAAATGTCTTGAGTCAATAAGTATTCAACCCCTTTGTTATGGCATGCCTAAATAAGTTCAGGAGTAAACATTTGCATAACAAGTCACATAAGTTGCATGGACTCACTCTGTGTGCAATAATAGTGTTGTTTAACATGAATTCTGCATGACTACCTCATCTCTGTACCCCACACATACAATTATATGTAAGGTCCCTCAGTCGAGCAGTGAATTTCTAACACAAATTCAACCACAAAGACCAGAGAGGTTTTCCAATCCCTCACAAAGAAGCGCACCTACTGGTAGATGGGTAAAAAAAAAAAAAAAAGCACACATTAAATATCCCTTTGAGCACGGTGAAGTTGTTACACTTTCGATGGTGTATCAATTAGGGCTGACCCCATTTAGTCGACTGGTCGATTGTTTGGTCGATAGGCTGTTGGTGGACCGAGATTTCTTTAGTCGAGCAGTAGCAAAAAATATATATAAAAAGAAATAATAATAACAATAATAATAATAATATCATGGTGTACAAGACACCTGTCTGATTTGCGCCTGTCTGAGTGGACTGATCCATTGTGGAGGCCGTGGGGATGGCACAGTCCATCAGTCTAAGACGTGCTACTGACATTGTATATGGTTATATTACATAAGAACAATGGTGCAACACTAATACAAATAATATTGGTTTTATTACAAATGCCCTTTCTCCCTCATTGGATAGTGGTCGCTGTCCACGGTTCTGAAACACATCAGCGCGCTGTTGAATTGCCGCCTTTTCCTAGACAATGTAGCAAAGTTAACCATCATATTGGTGTTGAGAACAATGCGGCGGAGGCAGCAGCAGAATGAGGAGATGAGAAAACAGCCCTTGCCTTATTGTCTAAGAAAAGTGAGGAGAGAGGAAACCCCAACTTAATTATGTCTATAATCAATAGCCTAGCTGCTAAATGTGCCCGGCTTTTAACAGTTAACAGTCCATTCGGAAATTATTCAGACCCCTTGACTATTTCCACATTTTGTTACGTTACCGCCATATTTTTTCTTCTTGTCATTGATCTACACACAATACCCCATAATGACAAAGCAAAATCAGGTTTTTAGAAATGTTTGCAAATGTATTACAAATACAAAACTGAATATCACATCTACATAAGTATTCAGACCCTTTACTCAGTACTATGTTGAAGCACCTTTGGCAGCGATTACAGCCTCGAGTCTTCTTGGGTATGACACTACAAGCTTGGCACACCTGTATTTGGGGAGTTTCTCCCATTCTTCTCTGCAGATCCTCTCAAGCTCAGTCAGGTTGGATGGGGAGCGTTGCTGCACAGCTATTTTCAGGTCTCTCCAGAGAAGTTTGATCGGGTTCAAGTCCGGGCTCTGGCTGGGCCACTCACGTATATATTCAGAGACTTGTCCCGAAGCCACTCCTGCGTTGTCTTGGCTGTGTGCTTAGGGTCGATGTCCTGTTGGAAGGTGAACCTTCACCCCAGTCTGAGGTCCTGAGCGCTCTGGAGCAGGTTTTCATCAAGGATCTCTCTGTACTTTTCTCCATTCATCTTTCCCTCGATCCTGACTAGTCTCCCAGTCCCTGCCACTGAAAAACATCCCCACAGCATGATGCTGCCACCACCATGCTTCACCGTAGGGATGGTGCCAGGTTTCCTCCAGATGTGATGCTTGGCATTAAGGCCGAAGAGTTCAAGCTTGGTTTCATCAGACCAGAGAATCTGGTTTCTCATGGTCTGAGAGTCCTTTAGGTGCCTTTTGGCAAACTCCAAGCGGGCTGTCATGTACCTTTTACTGAGGAGTGGCTTCCGTCTGGCCATTCTACCATAAAGGCCTGATTGGTGGAGCGCTGCAGAGATGGTTGTCCTTCTGGAAGGTTCTCCCGTCTCCACAGAGGAACTCTGGAGCTCTGTCAGAGTGACCATCAGGGTCTTGGTCACCTCCCTGACCAAGGCCCTTCTCCCCCGATTGCTTAGTTTGGCCGGGCGGCCAGCTCTAGGAAGAATCTTGATGGTTCCAAACTTCTTACATTTAAGAATGATTGAGGCAACTGTGTTCTTAAGGACCTTCAATGCTGCAGACATTATTTTGTACCCTTCCCCAGATCTGTGCCGACACAATTCCATCGACCTCATAGCTTGATTTTTGCTCTGACATGCACTGTCAACTGTGGGACCTTATATAGACAGGTGTGTGCCTTTCCAAATCATGTCCAATCAATTGAATTTACCACAGATGGACTCCAATCAAGTTGTAGAAACATCTCAAGGATGATCAATGGAAACAGGATGCACCGGAGCTCAATTTCGAGTCTCGTAGCAAAAGGTCTGAATACTTATGTAAATAAGGTATTTGTTTTTCATACATTTGCAAAGAATTCTAAAAACCTGTTTTCGCTTTGTCATTATGGTGTATTGTGTGTAGATTGATGAGGGGAAAAAAGTAATTTAATCAATTTTAAAATAAGGCTGTAACTTAACAAAATGTGGAAAAAGACATGGGGTCTAAATACTTTCCGAATGCACTGTATCTACAGAAATAAGATATATCCTGCTTCTGTTGCCTGTTTGTTTAACAGCCTCCGTGAGCACCAAGCCTCACGCAACGACATGTCAGGTAAACAATTTCACAAATGTGGCTGTTTTTAATCTTTGCTTTGCTGTATAAAGGCTTTAAACTATTTTTTCGTTAGAACAGCCTCTCTGGTATTATTTATAATTTATTTAGTATTTACACTGTTCCAAATTTTCGGGAAAATTATATTAATATTAATAATAATAATACTCATTTTTCTTGATCTCCTTATTGTTATTATTACTATTATAATAATAAGTAATGACATTATCATTAGTAGGCTTAGTATAGCAGCCTTGTATAACCACCATCGAGCTGTAGGCCTAAGAGCACATCCTGTTTAGCCCTATATTTCAATACTTCTATAGGCTATTGTATCAATCATTCATTAGTTCATTTCATCACACAGCATCCGAGTCATTCCTGATTTGAAATGCAATCAAGCATTTTAGTTTTTAAATAAAATAAAGCAAGCCTTGAATAATTAGCTTAAACAATAAATAAACCGTTCCATTTCGGAAATTGCATTCACAAAAAAACGTTACAACAGACTCTCTGGTACGCTTATACTTTATTTAGGGTTGTTTACATTGTTCCAAACGCTCACAAAAATGATATTGTAATCTATACAGCACCTGTTCGGCACACAGTATGCAGTATTTTCTACAACTAGTCACATTTATTCCACACATCTGACTTTCCCTTTACTTCCTGAGCAACCTATAAATATTCACCCGTTTTGAGTTTTATTTGTCACGTCCTCTGCATCCATTTTGCTGTCACATGTGTTACGGTGTTCAGAGTTTGTTATAACCAATTTATAGATGTGATTATGATATGCTATAGGCACGGCCGGCCCGCTCATTAGGCAGGATTAGGCGGCAGATTGATGAGGGCGCATTTTCTTAACTAAACTGACCAAGATGCACCTCCAACAACAACACATAAAACCTCACATTATTCTGCCCAAAAACAAATGACAATTTCTCTCAACCAGTGGCATATGGGCTTTTTAGGTGAGTGCTGTTGCTGCCCTTTGATAAGCAGTGGCCACTATTTTGCTTAACCATTCCTTAGGCATTAACTTAGCCTCTCCAGGGTGCTGTCGGAGAGTCGCATCTCTGCAGCGCTCCACCAACATTCAGTAAAAAAGAATGATCTAACATAAATCATGTAGCACATATAGGATATGGTAGAAATAGTATGTGGCCTTTTCTGTAGCCTACAGGCTGGAGATAAAATGTATGCCAATGTAATGAGACAGACACTTTTTACATCATGCAGGTTTCGCCGATCAAATAGCCTAACCTAAATGGCGCGCAATCAAATAAAAAATGAGCTGTCATGTTAACAAAGCAACAAGTCAAAGTAAAATGGACAATATGGAATGGACAATCACAACTGTTGTCCAGGAGTTTCACCCCATTGTCATGATCAGTGAGTTCCGTACATTTTTTGACAAGCTGATCATAGCGAAAAAGAAAATACTTATGCATTTCACGCTGTGTAAACACATTGCAAATAGGCATGTGATGCCTCTTGATAACGCTAATTAGCTGATATTCAGAACTTAAATAGCCAAATTGATTAGTCACAGGACTAATAAAGCCAATAAAATGGCCTGTTTTACAAACGTTGGGCCTACCACATGGATGGTCATTCATAAAATTCCATTGCAGGCAACACTGTAGGCTACCCCTCAGTAAGTACAGACCGACGCCTTTTGGACATCTTTTTTCGGTGCAGTTCGGCCTTGATTTCCATATCCACAAACATTGGTTTTTGGCCCGGCCCGTCTATGTTTGGTTAGGAGCCTGGCCTGGCACAATCAAATCAATTGCTGGTCGGACTCCCTCTAATCATTTGTGTGTCTTCATTTTTTAATCAAACTGTGTGCTTAAAGCATCAGACAAGCTCAGTGAATATAGTTGATTTGATTAGAACGGCACCTCTGTACCTTCGGGCTCTGATCAGTCCCTACACCCAAACGAGGGCATTGCGTTCATCCACCTCTGGCCTGCTGGCTCCCCTTCCTCTGCGGAAGCATAGTTCCCGCTCAGCCCAGTCAAAACTGTTCGCTGCTCTGGCACCCCAATGGTGGAACAAGCTCCATCACGACGCCAGGACAGCGGAGTCACTCACCACCTTCCGGAGACATTTGAAACCCCACCTCTTTAAGGAATACCTGGGATAGGATAAAGTAATCCTTCTACCCCCCCCCCCCCCCCCCACACACACACAGCGGAGTCACTCACCACCTTCCGGAGACATTTGAAACCCCACCTCTTTAAGGAATACCTGGGATAGGATAAAGTAATCCTTCTACCCCCCCCCCCCCCCAAAAAAAAAATTTGTAAAGTGGTTATCCCACTGGCTATAGGGTGAATGCATCAATTTGTGAGTCGCTCTGGACTAGAGCGTCTGCTAAATGACGTAAATGTGCCCTTGAGCAAGGCACTTAACCCTAATTGCTCCTGTAAGTCGCTCTGGATAAGAGCGTCTGCTAAATGACTAAAATGTAAATGTAAAATGTAAATTAAAACACATAGGATGTGTCAATATATCGAAAAATACAAGTTTAAAAATTGGTTGGTCGAAAGAACAGAAGACTCTTGGTCGACCAAGATTGTGTTTAGTCGGGGACAGCCCTAGTATCATTACACCCAGTCACCACATAGATACAGCGTCCTTCCTAACTCAGTTGCTGGAGAGGAAGGAAATCGCGTAGGGATTTCACCATGAGGTGACTTTAAAACTGTTACAGAGTTTAATGGCTGTGATAACAGAAAGCTGAGGATGGATCAACAACATTGTAGTTACTCCACAATACTAACCTAAATGACAGAGTGTCGAGAAAGAAGCCTGTACAGAAAAAAATTATTCCAAAACATGCGTCATGTTTGCAATAAGGCACTAAAGTAAAACAGCAAAGAATGTCCTGTATAAAAAGCGTTGCCAAATCAAACACATCACTGAGTACCACTCTTCATATTTTCAAGTATGGTGGTGGTTGCATCATGATATGGGTATGCTTGTCATCGGCAAGCACTAGGGAGTTTTTAGGATAAAAAGAAATGGACTAAAGCTAAGCACAGGCAAAAACCTAGAGGGAAACCTGGTTCAGTCTGCTTTCCAACAGACGCTGGGTGACAAATTTACATTTCAGCAGGACAATAACCTAAAACACAAGGCCAAATATACACTGGAGTTGATTAACAACAGAACATTGAATGTTCCTGAGTGGCCTAGTTACAGTTTTGACTTAAATCGCCTTGAAAAGATAGCTGTCTAGCAATGATCAACAACCAACTTGACAGAGCTTGAATACATTTTTTAAAGAATCATGTGCAAATATTTTACAATCCAGGTGTGCAAAGCTCTTAGAGGCTTACCCAGAAAGACACAGCTGTAATCACTGCCAAAGGTGATTATAACATGTATTGTCTCAGGGGGTTGAATACTTAAATTCTGTATTTCTGTATTTTATTTTCAATACATTTGCAAACATTTCTAAAAACATGTTATCACTTTTTCATTATGGGGTATTGTGTGTAGATGGGTGAGATTTAAAACATGTTTTAATCCATTTTGAATTCAGGCTGCAACAAAATGTGGAATAAGTCAAGGGGTATGAATATTTTCTAAAGGCACTGTATTAAGAAATAAATGACTCTGGCTAAGCCTAATCAGACTTACCTGTGCTAATGACGAAGTCAAATTATACAAATGTAACAACAGCCGGCGCGCACTGGACTGAAAAAACGATACAGATGTAACCATGTGTCGTATTATCTGACCGGCACTAGTCAAAATTCAATTGTGCATTTCACAGGTCACTTTGAAACTTTCGCGACACACCTGAGAGTTCCTGCCACGACACACTGCAGTAGAGTACAGTACATTATAGTGTACTGAACTCTAGTATGCTCTGCTGTGTACTGTAATGAACTCTACTGTACTTGTGAAACACAGACGTCTATGATTAGTTCAATTTTGGTTTGTTCTGGCCTGGACAAAATCTGAACCAATCATGGACGTCTATGTTTGGGCCAAATCAAGGCAAGTCTGTGGACGTTGAAATCAAGGTCAGGGGGGACTGACCAAATTGCAACTAGTTTTTTATTTTTACGTCCGGTGTCAGTTGGTGCTCAGTGGGTAAGGATGCTGGTTACAGTAAATGGAAAGAGACGGGGCTCATGGGTAGCTGTCAAAAGGAGCCGGCAGAGGTGACATTAACTGGAGAGAGAAGAGACGCAGAGAGAGGGTTTTAACTGTTTTAAACACTTGCTTTGACCACCAGACGACAGAGAGAGAAAGAAAACAGTTATGAGATTAACATAACAGTATGCCAGTGGAAGAGATGACTTTAGCAGGTGACTCAACTATGGTTTGTGACTACTATGATTTCCGATTGTAGACAATTCAATTGCAGTGAACGTTACAGATTTTTGGGAAATGCTGTTACCAATTTTTTACCCGTTTTAAATCACTTAATCATTCATAAACCAAATAGATATAGTAAAAACAGTAACTAGCCTAATTGGTAGGTCTACCGTTACTGGTTATGTCTGAACTTTCATTATCCTTCATACTCATGAGGGAGAGAAATATGAAAATATCCTTAAAATATGTGGGTTTTTGGTTAACGGAATTTCAAGGCACAGGGCAATGTTTCTTAAACAAGGCAAAACATTTCTCCAAAACTAAATATAAGTGTTGATATTAGCTGTCAGAGGACTTTACTTCAACATTATTGTGTTTTGATGTATTTCTAATACCTTAAGACTTTTTCTGGTGGATGTTTTTCTAAGACCCCTTTTCCATCTGTTTGACCAGCAATCAAAGCCTTAGGATATAAAATGGTAGAAAAATGTATATACGCCTTAATTAAAAAATATATATAGTCTAAGCTTTCATTTGACACCAGATTTGACATGCTCCTATGAACTTCACATGTTGGTGCTCATGGATAGTTTCGATGGAAATGCCCACGTGCAAGTGTATTAAAATTAGGCTGTTAAAGAAGAATACATCACAAAAACCACATCCTTTTATGGTAGGGCTGTCCTTCCATAATAGTAGAGTATATTTCAGCATCTCACCCTCATCCCAACAAATTCATTGCTCTTGTCAATCTCATCAGCAATGGGTGCCAGCTTCTCTGCTAGGAAACCTCCGGACTGTCTGTCGGAGCTGGACAACAGAAGAAATGACAACAATACTGTCAATGTAGTTCACACAAATGAATCAACATGAATTTCAAACCCAATATGTTCAGATGTATACTCTTCAGATAGCTGCTTTCAGCAACGCGGATGTATTTACATACACTAGCGTTGCTCCCAACTGTATTGGGTTGCACAAAAACAGTCCAGAGGAAGCCAGAAGAATAAAATAAAATACTGTTACAACATTGCAAAGTATTTTTAAATGAATCAATACAAGCCTGTCAAAATGACAATCTAATAAAAACTACTGGATAGTATCAACCACAGTATGCGAGCAGAGCGGAGCTGGAGCGAGGAGCGAAGCGTGCCCAATTTGACATCTGACTTTCCCTTTATTTCGCTCCAGTAGCGCTCACGTCACGAGCTCAGGGCATGCCCGGACCAGCATGCATTTGTAGTCTACTTGTGTGTTGCTAATAGCCCCTTGCTGTAGCTACTGTCATGGAGTTTGCTAAATATTTTCATAAAGAAACTGATAAAGCACACAGGTGCTAAATCAAGGTGACTTACAAAGATCAGGACCAACAGCAAGAGAGGGAGTGCGGCGATGTAATGTCCACTGTTATGTGTAAGGCTTGGATGCCACCTGCTGGTATGGTGCTAAACTGTTAGGTTATAGACCGGATTGCCATTGTTCTATGCACGGGATATGGCAGCTTTTACACTGGCTACATGAAACATCCACAACTAAAGAATCATGGTGGAATCTGAAAAGGCTCTTATCCCAAAAGCATGATGGTGTACAGAATAACAAAAAAAAAATCCAGAAAAACGCATGTCAAAAATGTTATAAATTGATTTGCATTTTAATGAGGGAAATAAGTATTTGACCCCCACTCAATCAGAAAGATTTCTTGCTCCCAGCTGTCTTTTATACAGGTAACGAGCTGAGATTAAGAGCACACTCTTAAAGGCAGTGCTCCTAATCTCAGTTTGTTACCTGTATAAAAGACACCTGTCCACAGAAGTAATCAATCAATCAGATTCCAAACTCTCCACCATGGCCAAGACCAAAGAGCTCTCCAAGGATGTCAGGGACAAGATTGTAGACCTACACAAGGCTGGAATGGGCTACAAGACCATCGGCAAGCAGCTTGGTGAGAAGGTGACAACAGTTGGTGCGATTATTCGCAAATGGAAGAAACACAAAATAACTGTCAATCTCCCTCGGCCTGGGGCTCCATGCAAGATCTCACCTCATGGAGTTGCAATGATCATGAGAACGGTGAGGAATCAGCCCAGAACTACACGGGAGGATCTTGTCAATGATCTCAAAGCTGCTGGGACCATAGTCACCAAGAAAACAATTGGTAACACACTACGCCGTGAAGAACTGAAATCCTGCAGCGCCCGCAAGGTCCCCCTGCTAAAGAAAGCACATATACAGGCCCGTCTGAAGTTTGCCAATGAACATCTGAATGATTCAGAGAAGAACTGGGTGAAAATGTTGTGGTCAGATGAGACCAAAATCGAGCTCTTTGGCATCAACTCAACTCGCCGTGTTTGGAGGAGGAGGAATGCTGCCTATGACCCCAAGAACACCATCCCCACCGTCAAACATGGAGGTGGAAACATTATGCTTTGGGGGGTGTTTTTCTGCTAAGGGGACAGGACAACTTCACCACATCAAAGGGACGATGGACGGGGCCATGTACCGTCAAATCTTGGGTGAGAACCTCCTTCCCTCAGCCAGGGCATTGAAAATGGGTCATGGATGGGTATTCCAGCATGACAATGACCCAAAACAAACGGCCAAGGCAAAAGCACATTAAGGTCCTGGAGTGGCCTAGCCAGTCTCCAGACCTTATTCCCATAGAACATCTTTGGAGGGAGCTGAAGGTTCGAGTTGCTAAACGTCAGCCTCGAAACCTTAATGACTTGGAGAAGATCTGCAAAGAGGAGTGGGACAAAATCCCTCCTGAGATGTGTGCAAACCTGGTGGCCAACTACAAGAAACGTCTGACCTCTGTGATTGCCAAGGGTTTTGCCACCAAGTACAAAGTCATGTTTTGCAGAGGGGTCAAATACTTATTTCCCTCATTAAAATGCAAATCAATTCATAACATTTTTGACATGCGTTTTACTGGATTTTTTTGTTGTTATTCTGTCTCTCAGTGTTCAAATAAATCTACCATTAAAGTTATAGACTGATCATGTCTTTGTCAGTGGTCAAACGTACAAAATCAGCAGGGGATCAAATACTTTTTCCCCTCACTGTACATACAGTGGGGAAAAAAAGTATTTAGTCAGCCACCAATTGTGCAAGTTCTCCCACTTAAAAAGATGAGAGAGGCCTGTAATTTTCATCATAGGTAGACGTCAACTATGACAGACAAAATGAGGAAAAAAATCCAGAAAATCACATTGTAGGATTTTTAATGAATTTATTTGCAAATTATGGTGGAAAATAAGTATTTGGTCAATAACAAAAATGTCTCAATTCTTTGTTATATACCCTTTGTTGGCAATGACACAGGTCAAACGTTTTCTGTAAGTCTTCACAAGGTTTTCACACACTGTTCCTGGTATTTTGGCCCATTCCTCCATGCAGATCTCCTCTAGAGCAGTGATGTTTTGGGGCTGTCGCTGGGCAACACGGACTTTCAACTCCCTCCAAAGATTTTCTATGGGGTTGAGATCTGGAGACTGGCTAGGCCACTCCAGGACCTTGAAATGCTTCTTACGAAGCCACTCCTTCGTTGCCCGGGCGGTGTGTTTGGGATCATTGTCATGCTGAAAGACCCATCCACGTTTCATCTTCAATGCCCTTGCTGATGGAAGGAGGTTTTCACTCAAAATCTCACGATACATGGCCCCATTCATTCTTTCCTTTACACGGATCAGTCGTCCTGGTCCTTTTGCAGAAAAACAGCCCCAAAGCATGATGTTTCCACCCCCATGCTTCACAGTAGGTATGGTGTTCTTTGGATGCAACTCAGCATTCTTTGTCCTCCAAACACGACGAGTTGAGTTTTTACCAAAAAGTTATATTTTGGTTTCATCTGACCATATGATATTCTCCCAATCCTCTTCTGGATCATCCAAATGCACTCTAGCAAACTTCAGACGGGCCTGGACATGTACTGGTTTAAGCAGGGGGACACGTCTGGCACTGCAGGATTTGAGTCCCTGGCGGCGTAGTGTGTTACTGATGGTAGGCTTTGTTACTTTGGTCCCAGCTCTCTGCAGGTCATTCACTAGGTCCCCCCGTGTGGTTCTGGGATTTTTGCTCACCGTTCTTGTGATAATTTTGACCCCACCGGGTGAGATCTTGCGTGGAGCCCCAGATCGAGAGAGATTATCAGTGGTCTTGTATATCTTCCATTTCCTAATAATTGCTCCCACAGTTGATTTCTTCAAACCAAGCTGCTTACCTATTGCATATTCAGTCTTCCCAGCCTGGTGCAGGTCTACAATTTTGTTTCTGGTGTCCTTTGACAGCTCTTTGGTCTTGGCCATAGTGGAGTTTGGAGTGTGACATTTTGAGGTTGTGGACAGGTGTCTTTTATACTGATAACAAGTTCAAACAGGTGCCATTAATACAAGTAACGAGTGGAGGACAGAGGAGCCTCTTAAAGAAGAAGTTACAGGTCTGTGAGAGCCAGAAATCTTGCTTGTTTGTAGGTGACCAAATACTTATTTTCCACCATAATTTGCAAATCAATTCATTAAAAATCCTACAATGTGATTTTCCTGATTTTTTTTCCTCAATTTGTCTGTCATAGTTGACGTGTACCTATGATGAAAATTACAGGCCTCTCATCTTTTTTAAGTGGGAGAACTTGCACAATTGGTGGCTGACTAAATACTTTTTTTCCCCCACTGTACACATACATACATATAAATACATATACATATCCTTTAAAAATATATATTTCCCTTTATTATTTTCCAACCCCACCACCCCTGAGCCACTTGTGTGGGTTGTAGACTCCGTCTCATGCTACCACTAGAGTGAAAGCACCGCCAGCATTCAAAAGTGACCAAAACATCAGCCAGGAAGCATAGGAACTGAGAAGTGGTCTGTGGTCACCACCTGCAAAACCAGTCCTTTATTGGGGGTGTCTTGCTAATTGCCTATAATTTCCACCTGTTGTCTATTCCATTTGCACAACAGCATGTGAAATGTATTGTCAATCAGTGTTGCTTCCTAAGTGGACAGTTTGATTTCACAGAAGTGTGATTGACTTGGAGTTACATTGTGTTGTTTAAGTGTTCCTTTTTTTGAGCAGTGTATATATACATACATATACTGTACATACATACACATATACAGTGGGGAAAAAAAGTATTTAGTCAGCCACCAATTGTGCAAGTTCTCCCACTTAAAAAGATGAGAGAGGCCTGTAATTTTCATCATATGTACACGTCAACTATGACAGACAAATTGAGATTTTTTTTCCAGAAAATCACATTGTAGGATTTTTAATGATTTTATTTGCAAATTTTGATGGAAAATAAGTATTTGGTCACCTACAAACAAGCAACATTTCTAGCAATGATCACAAGAACGGTGAGCAAAAATCCCAGAACCACACGGGGGGACCTAGTGAATGACCTGCAGAGAGCTGGGACCAAAGTAACAAAGCCTACCATCAGTAACACACTACGCCGCCAGGGACTCAAATCCTGCAGTGCCAGACGTGTCCCCCTGCTTAAGCCAGTACATGTCCAGGCCCGTCTGAAGTTTGCTAGAGTGCATTTGGATGATCCAGAAGAGGATTGGGAGAATGTCATATGGTCAGATGAAACCAAAATAGAACTTTTTGGTAAAAACTCAACTCGTCGTCTTTGGAGGACAAAGAATGCTGAGTTGCATCCAAAGAACACCATACCTACTGTGAAGCATGGGGGTGGAAACATCATGCTTTGGTGCTGTTTTTCTGCAAAGGGACCAGGACGACTGATCCGTGTAAAGGAAAGAATGAATGGGGCCATGTATCGTGAGATTTTGAGTGAAAACCTCCTTCCATCAGCAAGGGCATTGAAGA